CGACAGAGGAACCTACGTGCTCGGGCGCTACAGTACCGTACTGGGGCGCTAGGTTGACTCCCACTTAGCTTTTACTAGATTCCTGCAGCACTCCCAAATACCAGGCTTGGATTGAACCCTACGATAGGAATTATCTTGTTTAAATTAATTAATTAAATTGGTGCCTGGTTTGGATTTCGGCTCGAATGCATTTGTCTTCGGGGTCAGTTATTTCGCTGGTATTGTGTTCATGAATTATAATGCAGAGCGAGTATATGAGTGAATTAAATCTTATTATTTCAGCATTGGCGGCGTTGGCGTTTTTTCGAAATATCTTACGGTCTGTTGTAGAATCTTAATTCTGGAATATATAGCTCGTTATATTCCCAAATTTTGCCCCTACGACAGCGTTGTATCAGCCTCCGTCTAGACTTGAACCAGTAAATCAGCTTTTTCGGCTTGTGTGCGGTCGTTGGGAATCTGGAGAATACCTTAGAAAATCGAGTTCGGCAACAGGGTCCGATCTGTTTTCTCGCGGACAGTGTGTGTGCGGAACCATACTTATTTTCAGGCTTTCGTGGAAAGATTAGAAGCTGGACGCGTGAGTGGCCTACTGGTGTCGATAAGAAAAGATTTCTCAAATTCAGTGATTTCTCGTCTAGCAACCTTCGCTCACAGCCTGATTGCCTGCATCTCAAGCCATCGCTTCTCGGATTCACTAATTAATCACAAAAACCTGTGTATCGGACAACTAAGAATGGCTAGTAGTCTTACTGCTGTTATTATTTCCTCCAAGTTATGGAAAATTGCTGAGTACCAATACAAATGCTGTTGACTACGACATGAAAAGACTGTTGACTTATATGGTAGAAAACGTTAGTTGGATAACTTTTATTGAAGGTTTATCCAGCATCCGAGAGATATAGGTCGCATTGGCCAGCTAAAGCAGTACAATTACGTAGATAATGAACAAATTCTTACAGAACGCAGTCCACGTGACTTATAGCCGGTGAATTTGGATATATCAGTTGTTTGCATCTCAACCGACTTCATGGCACCCTGAAATTAACGCTTACGTGGTTATATGGGTTATCTTCACTACTGAGACAGTTCCATAGTCGATGGTTCGCTCACCTCGTTAGCTACCCTTCTTCAGTTTTGTTGCGGAAAAGTACAGTCATGGACGGCTTTTGAAACTCATACCGAAGCTTTAGGCGTGAGCGGCTGCCGTAGGAGTGAGCGAGAGTGGAGACCGTTTTTGACAGCGCACAAGAGCGCAGAGCAGTCGTTTTAGGACCGACCATGTTCGCCCACACCTGCATTGGCAGTGTACGTCGACGTCCCGGGCCAGTCTAATTGCTTGCCGTCAAAACTAATGCAGC